ATACCATATGACTATTCTCATGCTTAAAAATAGGAAGCAAGAAAAATGATCATCCAATCTGACATTACACATCATGAAAATCACTGAGACTACCACCGATAACCACCACCTTTTCGCCATAAAACAATTCCACATACTTCTACAAAACTGTAATACAAAGAAATGTTAGCAATTCTAAAAAAATAATAGCACAGAGTCAAAATTATTGCCAAAATTCCCTCCCAGAATTTAGTCCTGATACTAAAAGTTACCATTAGTGAATCACCAGCTAAAACTTGCCAGTACAGTACAACAGGTCATGCTTGACAGCAACATAATACACGGCATCTGCAGACTTTTAAAAACAACACTTACTGTTTTGACTCATGGTGACAAACCTCCAGTGTTGGATCATTGTAGATGAAAGCTGCTTCTAAATCATTAACTCTCACTCTGTAAATCCGGCACTGTTTACTATTCAGCTTGATCCTATTCAGGTTTGCAACTGTGGGAAATATTGTCAGTTCCACATAACCCTATGAAAACACAAACCAAAACCTGCTATAAAATCTTTAACAACTCACAAAGTGCATAATCTTATTAATGCATTTCAAAGGAAAATTGTAGGTAAAAAAATATTTTTTCATTTTAAAAGGAAATTGGTTTGCCCTTTTAGAAGAGTCTAGAATACACTCTGTGTCATACCATTTAACAGGTGGATTTTCCTGGCTATGAAACAAAATAAAATAAAAAAAGACACGATGGACAATCATGAAACATGGTTTAGTTCAAGGTGTCCCTGCCCACAGCAGGGGGGTTGGAACCAGATTATCTTAAGGTCCTTTCCAACCCTAACTATTCTATGATTCTATGATTCTGTGAGTGTTTTACTGGGAATGACCTGGCTGTAATGATTAGACTTCAAGTTACTGGCATCACTATGTTCTTCATCATTATGTTTTCCATCACTATGTTTTAGGTTTTGGTATCTGAGCTCAAGATGATTTTTTTAAACCTAGGCAGAACCCATTCAGTCAAGTATTGAAATTCACAAAAAGCCACAATGACTTCAGGCTTGAAATCGTAGCAGTCTCTTCAAAGCCCCAGTAAACCCACATTCAAGCAACAGAACTCTATAAACACAACCCCTGACATCAGCTAACCCAGTGCTGAACATCAGTTTTCAATGCAGATTGCTCTGTAACACTATTTACAATGCAATGCCTTCTTTCAGAAAGCTTTTCCTTACAGAGATTAAAGTGTTCACAAAGTATTTTATTTAATGCATATCGAGGAGTGCCAGACTTCTGAGATTAGAAGGTATAAAACACAAATAAACTGAAGAACATAATTAGCTTGTGTGTGAAGTTATTTCCTCTAAAAGCATGAAGAAAACCCAGACATTTAATTTCTACTTTCACATTTTATTAAAAAATACTTACTACAACAGACTTTCTCTGAAAATTTATGTTGTTGATACAAACTACCTGGTGAGTTGTGCTGGAAAAAAAAAGAAAAAAAATTAAAATAAGTTAAGTTTTACACAAATGAAAGCATTTAAAATAACATTTTACCCCCCCCCCCTTTTTTTTAATAGGGAGCTCATACAGGATGTATGTACATATAGATATATACCGTGTATAGCATATACTTCACAGAATCACAGAACGGTTTGGATTGGCTCTGTAAGTATTCACGACTGTCTAAATCTCTTACAGGGTCCAAAATAAATAATGAATGGAAGCTGCATACAAGGTCAGAAAAGTTTCATTAAAATCAAATATAGCGTCACACCAGGATTCTAGTGATACCAGAAGATAATAACATCACTTTTGAACATCATCTACCAGTATGTAAAAATCTTGTATTACTAAAGGCACAGAATCAAGTTCTAACACTTTACTGACATGCAGTATTACAATTTGCAAGCAACTATAATGCCTGCAATGAGACACCTATGGAAAATTTACCTGGTGAATTGATTCTCACGTCATTTATGTAAGCAGGTACTACACATGAAATAATGCAGTATGGGCTTTTACAATTTCGTATCATAAGAATTTCTTATTTTAAATAATGGTTATATATAACTAAGATAGGTATTTTAAACAAGTCAAATGTATTTGCTTAGATTTTGAATGACATATTAGAACTCCTGATAAATAAAACTCAATTTAAAAAAATGAAGATAAAATAGTAATTCTAACCGTTATAAACCTCTGGAAGTTATTTTTGTATCTTTTCTGTAGTAGGTGGCATTTTCACCACATTTTGCAGTTGTGTTATTCATGACTAAAGATACAACCTTATCATAAGCCAATTTTCATGCCACCATCTCACATTATATGCACATAATCATGTACCCTGTGCATTAAAAATCAATTTTGCTTCAGCTAGGCAAGTTTAATAAAAATTCCTACAAGAGAATGATAACATCTAGCATCCAAGATGGATTCAGACGTTACCTACATGCTAATATGTATCTGAGAACAAGAGTGATTCTATTTATAAATTGTGTTACAGATTTCTAAAGAAATCAAGGAGTCATAAACGGAAATACATAAATATCCATTGAAAACCCCAACCAACTGCTTTAGAGTTTGGTTACAACCAAAACAATCCATGTGCAAAAATGACAATTTGCTTAACCAAGCTGTTTGTTGCAAATGCAAGCATTTTTTACAAATATATATACAAACCCTCAAGTCAAAAGGGTGTGACAGAGCAGCAGGGATGAGACATAGCAGCATGGTCTGTAGCGCTGATAGTGTGTGGAAATCTCTAAGGTTTGAAGAGCACAATGTACATATCTCTATGAAACTGCATGGTTGACAGACTCACCATCCATGAGCAAGCCCGTTTACATAAAACACCTACAACACACATTTTCTGAATGCAACCTATATCATAAGCAGCAGTTCCAACCTTCTCAGGTAAACAGTTATGGCTCAGCCTGTGGCCCGTTTCAATGTGCCCTGGTCTCAAGTATAGCAACTTAAAAATAAAATAATAAATTAATACTTATAATTTATAAGGTCTTGGGCTCTCAAATCCTTTGTCTCCTTTCTTCCTATTCATCCTGAACAGCAGCACTAGACACACACTGCTGACCGTCAGAATGGCATCAGCATCATCCTCGATCGATGTGTCCTTTGATTTTTCCCAGTGTCAAGTCGTACTTCATCACCCATCTAGCCAGCGGATCTGTGCCTCCCACAAGTCAGGCATCTTCAGCTCGGATTAGCACCATAGTTACAGCACAAACAACATGCAGTTTTCTATTTAATCTTTTACGAGAGCAGAACGCTACCCCTCCCACTGGGGGTACGGTACCAGTCCAGCGCCGCTGAGTGCTCCCTTTCCGGAGAGGCTATGATAAATAACCGGCTCAACGGGCAACGGAGGTGGGAGCTGCTCGGTCAGGAAGGCCGCGGCTGGGCAGGCACGGCCAAGGGGTCCCTATCCGGGACAGCCGGCTGAGGCCGCACCGTCCGCTGGCAGGAGGGACCGGGGGGCGACTGTGGGATGACTGGGGAGGGCAGGCCGCGCAGCAAAGCCCCCTGCGTCCCGGCCTTATCGTCACTGCGGGCGGCGGCTGTGCCGGCGGCTCCCACGGCTCGGCTCGGTGCAGTACGATACACTCGGTATGGTACGGTACGATGCGGTGCGGGCGGGGCCCGGCCAGCATGGAGGGCGGGAGCAGCGCACCGGCAGGGAGCGAGGCTGCCCTCAGCAACGCTCCCGCCTGGCCTCGCCGGCGGGTTCTCCCTCAGAGGCGGTCGCCATCTTGTGAGCAACCTTTGACCCCTAGCAGTTGAAAGGTCACAGCCCGTTTAAAGGAGCTTTACTTCTTTAAGAACGGGAAACGTTTTGGATCCCTGTTTTCCAGACGGGTGGAATAACGGTGGCAGAGGCAGCCGCGGGGGAAAACAGAAATAAAGAAGAAAATGCCCCCGCAAAAAAAGCCAAGTCTCCCGAGGACGGGTCATGTCGCTATGCGCATGCGCGCTGAGCGCCTCCAGCGCAGGGGCGGTAGGCACGGGGCACGGTGCGCATGCGGAGGCGTTGCCTGGGGTGGGGCAGGGGCTCGCCGGAGGATGGCGGGAGGGTGCGTGGAGGGACCCGGCAGGCGGTGTGAGGGGTTGGGGGCCGGTAAAGGGCAGTTCGCGTCTCGGCCGCCCTCCGCGGTTCCTTTCAGGTGCAGCAGTACCCCAGCCCTCCCTGACGGTTGTGGCCGTAAAGCTGTGCTGTGGACCGGGAGCTTCCGCCAGGCCTGCGTTTGGGCCCTCTGCTGACGGTTTAAACAAACGTGGGGTCCCGCCGCCTGCGGTTGCCAGGGTAGAGCTGTGGTCACCGACACTCGGATCTACCTTAGCGCACACATAATTAGGAGCAGGGCTCGCACCCAACACGGGAGGATACTAAGACACATCGTACGATACATCATGCACGCATCTTGTGATACGGTCCCACCGCCTCCTTCAAGAGAAACTGTCATGGTACGGTCCTGAGGAGCCACCTGTGAGGTGGGTGGGGAACAAGCTGACCAGCCACGCCAAGAGGTGGGGTGAACTGCACCTTGTCTAGCCGATTATTTAGTAGTGGGCCCAACACTGTTTAATATTCTCATCAATTATCTGGAAGATGGGATCAACTGTACCCATGGTTGCCTAAAGTTCAGCAACCATGAATGAAGTAGGGAAGTAGACACTTCCAAAGGATGTGCAGGACAGACTGAAGGGTAGGCTAATAGGAACCTCATTAAGTTCAGCAAGGACGAGCATGAGGTCCTGCCCCTCAGTATCTCCCCTCACCCTGCATTAGGTATGCCAGCAGCTCCAAAGCTTTTGATGCACCTTACATGTGACTTTGATACAGCAAATGCTTTTTGTATACAAGCCCTCTACAATTACTAAGTTTTTAAAAAATATATGAAAAATGTTTAATATTAAACTCTGGTTCACTGACATGTAAACAGTCCCTTTAATGATTACAAGGCACTCCACATAATGACCGTATCATAAAAAAAAATCCTATTTCATTACTTTACACAGTAATATTCCACCCTAAGTTTTCAAGGCACATTTTCTATATGCAGTTATTTGTCACAGCAAGGTGAAAAATTCTATTACAAAGTTTCTTAAGTTCTCTTTAAAAAGCAAAGGTACGCTTCTGTAAAACTAATTTTACCTCTGGTATATTCTAATGGCAGTTCAGAGGAAGCTCCTAACAAGATGTCCAACTGTTCACTCATACCTTCACTCTTGATTGCAATTTGGTTTTTCTCAATACGTAAAAGGCAACTTGGCAAGTGTTAAAGTACCAACAGTTTCTGCCACTGTTATTAACAGACATGACCATAAAAAGAACCACCTTCCAAAATTAAGGTAAGTGCAGTCACAGGAATAATTTGTTCACGAGCTTGTCAAGGTCTGCAGTATTCAACATGTCAACACCGATATGCAATCTTAATCTTTAGGAATGCTGACTAATGGGCAAAAGGCTAAACATTCTGTTTTGCTGTTGATAATTGAATCGATTATCATCAAGGATGTTTTAATTTTTAGTGTCAGACTTCAGTTTATGGATATTTCTATGATTCTATGATAGACAACTGAAGTATATATAAGTAGTTCAACTCCTGGCATAACTACAGACAGAAAGGAAACAGAAGGGGAAACAAGGGAAGGAGAGGGCAAAGGCTGCTGACACTGTAGTTTCTCAGAAGAGGCAAATGCCCTCACATTCTACTTAGCTGAACAGAAAGCAGAATTCATTCAAGAAGCTTAGCTGCTTAAACTCAAGAACATTGTATGATATTGGTTGACAACTCCTTTCCCCAGGAGGTAACAACAAGTAACATAAGCTGTTACTTCATTCAGAATTCTCAGTTCTTAAAACAGTACTTGTTAGGAGATGGGTCTTCTAGAATTATAAACTTTAACACCATTCTGCATTGAGCAACGAGCATATTTTGTCAGAAGAACCCCAGCGGTCTGCTTCTCCGCACACAAGTCTCTATAGAGGAAATAAAGCAGATGGCATTGGCATTAGAGATACTTTCATACAAAATGAATCCATGAAATACTTGTAAATATAACAAACCGGATCAGGATATTGGGAGAAAAAAAACAAACCACGAAACTGTAACTGTTACATAATGCTTCAAATTACCTTGAGAACTTGGCTTTGATATTTAAGTGACTGGCAAAACGACATTATTTACTCCAGAAAGAAGGATTTTGGTTTTTACAGGGAGTTGGTTGTTTTTTATTATTACTGTTCTCTAAAGGTTTTCAATCTAGCAAAACAGTTAGCTTTGAACTACTTAATTAGAGTAAATTTAGAGACACTCATAGGGGTCTGAGGGTTACCATCTAGATCTGCTCATGTGTATCCTGGCTGAGTATTCCAGGCAGCACTGGAATGTGAGTGTTAAATAAGGAAAGACACAGCATGGGAAGCATATATAGTTCTTGTGTCATAAATCTGGAGACTGTTTACAGATGTCAGAAGGTTCATCCTTTGAGTTAAGTATGCCTCAATCAATAGGATCTGCCTTCAACAGTAAAATCACCTTTTTACACAAGTTTAAATCCAACAAATATAGCTACAGTTCCCACAGGTAGGGATTCCACTCATACAGAATCCAGTCATTTACAATGGGAAGTATAGTATTTGAGGCAATCATAGCTGATAAGTCAGCTATGCAAAAAGGGAAGAAGATAACACTACTTTTAATAAAGATAAATATATCCTATGATTCTATGATCCTTACTGTATATAAGGGGTAATATCCGGTTCTGTCCACTTTTCCCGTATGCTGAACAAGCTGTTGAATCTTTCCTGATTTCCTTCAGGTAAGTCTTCTACTTTTAGCAGGAAGATGGTCTCTGGTCTTGAGCTTCTATCCACAAGAGCCAAGCCCTGTAGATCAGCATCAGAGAGGAAATGTTAAGGGAAAACAAAATTCCTTCTTCCTGGCAATAATCTGTACAAGTTGCCCTTAAACATCCAAAGCATTCTAAAACTGCACTATGAAAGGCAAAGTGTAAAAGTATCATAAAGGTGCTGTTCTACAGGCAGTGTTTATCACTTCCTATATGACAAGAAGGGAAGGTGAAGTCCACCGAGTTCCAACACCTCTTTGCCTCCTCAAGCAAAAGGATTTTCACAGTGCTTGCTACTCTGCTGGCTGCCACCCCGGTCTGCCCCACAACAGCTTCAGTTTCTGTTCTAGTTACATTTACAGATAACAGCTGAAACTTTTCTCCAAACAGTGAAACATGCCAGACTTGCAGAAAGCTCAGCTGTCCTGATTCGAGACCACTGGTGCTCACGGAGGATGTAAGGAGTACTTGAATTCAAAAGCTGACACAAGTAACACATCAACAACCATTAATTGATAAAATGTATGTATGACACAAGGAAGGTAACAGCCTACTTGTGAAAGAATCCGTACTTCTTCATGTTTTTACCTGAAGCTGATCAAGCCTTGTTGTCATCCCTTCAGGGACACTTTGTTGCCAGACTTCTTGAAACTCTGATAAATTGAATTTAACTGCATTTTGCAAAAGCATTTGTGCTATAGCTCTGCATATTTTATCTTCATGCATCTCAAAGTAAACCTCCCCTGCTGAGAAACAAAAAACAGGTTATCTTGGTTCTTGCTTTTTGATAAAAGAACAGAGTACAGCCTCATGTTTCCATTCTGCTCTACAGTCTTCTACAAAGCAAGTACTCCATTTTTGATTTTCCTCAGGGAGAATCTGACTTGGTATTACATTGGACAAATGATGGTATCTTCTCAAGTGCAAAATATTCTGTGTGCGTGCAGCACTGCCCCAGCTACAAGTATTAATTCATGTCAATAAACTTATCTGCCCTTCATCTTTTCACTTTGCACAGTAACACTTTTTCTTACATCTTTCATTCCTGTTTCAAGAACAGCTTGTATTAAAGTGCTTGCTGCCTGTGGTTGAACAATTCAACAAAACTTTCATGTCCTTTATCACCTTTAAATTATCATTATTCCCTTCATCAACTCATATTTTGTTTCACACTGACTTGACTAAAATTCTCTGACCGATGTCAGGCATAAACACTTCCTTTGACTTTTTCAGCCATCTTAACTTCCTGCAAACTTGTTTCTTGTACAACCTGTCTGAATATACTAAGATTATAATTTGTGTCACTCCAACTACTTTCCTTTCTCTTGAAAAGTTGAGTGCAACTCCTACTATACTCAAAGGTGAGCTGAAAGCAACTGTGGGGAAGAATTCAGATTAAGGCACAGAAATATTCTGTCTATATGTGAGATGGGCAATGGAGATTTAATCAATACAATCAGTAGGTCTTGTGGTGCAGTTCAAGGGACCAAAGGCAGATGTCTACTTCAGGCAGGCTGAATTCAGGGAGATCTATGTGCCATTCACTATTTACAACAGCACAATTGCCATTTGTTTAATTGCTTAAACATCTGAGACCTCCTACAGGAGATTCCACCTAAATTTTACTGGTCATCTGTGTTTAGTCACAAAATTATGGTTTGTAGACACCTAATAAATGACTCCCAGTACTTCTGTTAGTTCCTGATTTTTCCCCAGTGTCTCATACAGTTTAATAGTCCTTTTTCCTATGAAACTTTCTCTAACCATTTTACTCAGTTTTAGCTCACTGTTTACTCCCTCCTTTTATTAACATTGTAGCAAATTGATTTGTTTGGGCCATCCTCAGGATCTACATTTACTCAACAATACCTATTTTCTTTATGTAAAATTAAAATATGCATGCTTTCCCAAACTTACCATCGTCAAAATATCTCCTTCCATAGCTTAGAAGAAGGTGTTCTATCATCGATCTGGGAAGGGGGGGGGGGGGGATAAAAAAAAAAAAAAAAAATAATCAGAAATCAAGTTTTAAAACTGCTCGTTAGACACTACAGAAACAGTTACCAAGAAAATGAAGGAACAGGTATTAGGGGGTGTGTGTCAAGGAGAACTGAGGTTGTGACATCTTCATGCCTGAAATGAACAAATTCCCAAAAACTTAGAAGGAAAAGAGAACAAAAGGGGACAAAAAGGACAGACAGAAGTTAATTCTGTGTGCTGTCATCAAAGGTCTCTTCCACTGTCTAGTTTTAAGTGACAGAAACTAAAGGGTATAAGGAGAATAAGGAAGACTGACTCTTGCAAAGTCACTTTTTTGCAAATAGAATTGTTTCAGTAGTGTGGCCAGCAGGGTGATGCCACACCTTAAATCCTGTGTTCAGTTTTGGGTCCCTCACTACAAGAGAGACATTGAGGTGCTGGAGCAGGTCCAGAGAAGGGCAGTGGAGCTGGTGAAGGGTCTGGAGCACAAGTGTGATGAGGAACGGCTGAGGGACCTCGGATTGTTTAGCCTGGAAAAGAGAAGGCTCAGGGGAGACTGTCACTTCTACAACTACCTGAAAGGAGGTTGTCGTGAGGTGGGGATTGGTCTTTTTTTCCCAAGTAAAAAGCAGTAGGACAGGAGGAAATGACCTTAAGTTGTGCCAGGAGAGGTTTAGATTGGATATTAGGAAATTTTTTGTTTCCACCAGAGGTGTTATCAAGCACTGGAACAGGCTGCCCAGGGCAGTGATGGAGTCACCATCCCTGGAGGTATTTAAAAAAAACATGTGGATGTGTCCCTTAGGAACATGGCTTAGTGGTAGACTTGGCAGTGCTCAGTTAACCATTGGACTTGACGATCTTAAAGGTCTTTTCCAACCTAAACTATTGTGTGATTCTATGGCAAGTCACAAATTTGGCAGTTAATTATCACTTACTGATTAGTAGGCATTTTTCTAGAACTCTGGCATAACATTACAGCATAACTGCAGACACTAATACTAAAGCAAGATTTCTTTTTGAGCCAAAAGCCAAATAAATAGCAAATGCTACATACTGTAAACTTTAAACTTTGTTTGAATGGTAATCTTCAATTATTTCATGACTCCAAACAGCAGTACAATAAATTCAACTCTTACAGTCTGGATTTACTAAAACAGAAAACATGCCACATTTCATATGTTATACAAGAGGTAAACTAAACCTTTTTGGCTACCTATAGCTTCAGAACAAGTATTTCAAGATTGCCAGCAATTTACAGCTTAAGTACATGCTACTTCCATAATTTATAATTCAGCAGTGATGTTTCTACTACTAATCAGTGGAAATATTACCAATAGACACTATGGTCAGTTTACTAACCTGTCTAAGCTACTAACGGCCTTGTATATTTTAGAGGCAAAGAAAAACGTATCATTAACACCATGGTAACTGGAATCTACAGTTGTAAGACCATAATTCTAAGAAACAGTAATTAATGTAATTAATTAATAATGATTGTAAACAATTTTAAGTACTAAATGTAAAGGCTTACGTGGGCTCTAGAGATCCAAGTTCCTCAAGGCAGGTACGTAAAGGAACCTTCTTTAAAGACCAGGACTCTGAGTCTATTAGCTGAATCACATGATTCAAGAGTTTCATCTCATAGTCAAATTCCAGAATTCTCCAATATCCTGCCAAACAGAAAATCACAAATCAAGACTTAGGAGAACATTAATACCTTAATTCTGTTCCCCTGTACATGTATTACAGGAGTCTGGACATTTAGATCACACCTTTACAAAGTACAGCAGCAACATTCTGGCCTTTTCAGGATTAAAACTTGGAAACAGAACAGAATAGTAAAAGCAGTTGTAGAGGAGAAAGAAGTTAAATAATCTCTATTATTCATAACTGTTTATGTAGATTAACTGCCACAAATACAAAGACACTACAAATTCCATACAAAGATGAATCAGACCTGGAAAAACTAGTAATTCATTCAGGCATAGAACTATATGAACGGAAGTGGCTGCACTGGCCCTGAAAAGTGACAGCTCAGGTCCAGGCTAGTACACAGAAATCCAGATGCGACAAAGCATATATGAGGTACAACGGTGTTGTGCAGCTGTACATGACAAGGAAAGGCATCCACGAGATCCTCACCTACCTAATGGGACAGTACAAAGACAACTGACCAGAGGTCTTTCCAGTGGTGCTCAGTGATGGGACAGGAGGCAAAAAGCACCAGTTGCAACAAGGGAAATCCCAGCTAGTTATTTCCTTGCAGACGGTCTAACACAGGAACACCTTAGACAAAGCTGTCCATACTTGGAAATACTTAGAACAGAACCAGCCAAGGTTACATGCAGCCATGCCATAAAGCAGGGGTTTGGACCTGGTAACCTCCAGAGCTCAGTTCTGCCCTATATTATTCTGTGACTCCAGGACTAATGTCACGTTATGTCCAAGTGAGGGTTAGGATTTGGCCAAGTAAAGGATGAGTAGGACCTGTCCCAAGGTGAGACACTTGCTTTAGTCTTGCCTCACATGGTAGGAAGACCTCTGAGATAAAACCCAGTCTGGGATGAAGAGCAAGCTATGAAAGGGCTAGGGTTACCTAAGGATTAGCTATTTTTATCTCTATAACTGCAACACTAGAACTCTTCATCCATGAAGAGGACCGGCAGCCAAAAAAATATTCATGCTATGGGTGGGATATTCTGATGGCAGTGTTTTAGCAGTATAGAAGGAATTACCCTGGGAATAGCCAGACTGGTCAGTGCCTGCTTGGTTTTATCCTTTAGATCAGCTTCATAGCAGCAGAGAGCATAGGAACTATGGAAGCAGACCTTGGTGCTTTGAAGTGACTTGCACCTTGAAAGACGAGGATGTAAAATGGGCCTTAGAAAAAGGAGACACATATTTTGGGAAAAAAAGCAGGGTTGGTTCCTCATAAGCAATAATATCCTTTAAAATAATACCTTCAATTTTGCAGGCATCTATCACCTGCAAATGGTGCAGTATTTCTTCTTCGCTTGCTTGAATCAGACTTAACAAATCTTCTGTTGTATACTGCAGTAAGAGGAAATAAAAGAAATAAACACGTTATCCTTACTCCTCCTTTGCTTCAGCAAAGCATGCTAAATGTATTGTAAGATGTAATGAAGAGTAATGTTCCCCTCCCTGCATACTCCAAGTTTTGTAAGGTTTACCACATTCTGAAACCTTTCCTGTAACTTACATTTTCTCAAAGAGTTATGCAATAGAAAAGCCAGTCTAACTACAGGGAAGTCTTTGTGCCATGCACAGGCAATACACTTGTATTCCCAGGATGTCAAACTAGCACAAGTAGGCATCTTAAGTAAGGTATACCAGGAAGAATGAAAAGTAAATGTGTTCTGGTTTTCCTAAATCACTTATTTTAACTTGTGAGATTCAAAGAATAGGCAAACCAAAAAGCACTCATCCCTTTTGGACAGATGTCAGAACTCCACCTTAGTACCTCCACTGAGGGAAAGATTCCTCCAGCATGACCTCAACAGATATGTGTTTTGCTGTCTGGTAACCAATTAGCAGACACGTAGTACAGCCCTAGCCATAATATAAACAGCTTCTTGCAGAACAGTTACTTGGAGAGATGAGTACTTGTAGAGATGATAGGGTGCTGTAGATACTGTCTGTGGTAAAGTTTTAGGAGATATAGGAGGAACAGAAGGTATCATGAGGAATGAAGTATAAGGAAAGAACAGACTTAAATCCGTAGGAGACAGGGCTTCATAAATTCTTTTATTCACCTTACAGCCTTTTTAATCAACTTTAATATTAAAGTTTTGTTGATTATACTGTAAGAATAGTTCTATCAGAACAGAAAAAATAAGAGTTAAGTACCTCAGATCCATTAGACTATGGGAACACAAATGGAAGAAATCAATACTAAGTTTGGAACAGCCACATGTTAAAAAAAATTTAATAAATACAGAAAGGTCTTTGCTTTTTGCAGTACCATTCCTATTAAACATCATCAGGCTAAGCAGCACTGAACTCGCAAGAGTATTTCAGCAAGGGATGACCATATTGTACAGTACTTAAACACTGCTAGTAATTGAGACTAAACATATCCCAAGAGTCATTTGTTTTCAAATAACCAGTGGCAAGATAAGAATTGTCTATCAGCTATATCTAGTTTTCTCCAGTAAGCTGATATAGGAAATATTCTCCTTCAAAACAGAGAAGAATGGTCCTCAAACTAGGCATTAATGTCTGGGGAGACACTGACATGTTTTTATAATAGTTGTTCAATATTAGCAATAAATATTATTCCACATGACTTCCCTTCTCCTCCCCCCCCCCCCCCATTGCTAGTCACTTTAAGCCCTTTTTTCTCTGCTAGCCCCTGTTCTGTTGTATGTCCCTCTACACCTAGACCAGAATAGATGGGAGAAGGCAGTGCTGGGGGAAAAAGATTCCGAAACTGTTCAAAAATTAGTCTGTTAATAGTCCAGAAAAAGAGAGGCAGCATTTTTCTCCAAGGGAGAAAAGTACCATCTATGTTTGTACATCCAAGCACAGATGGTTTGGTAGTATCAGCTTCACCCAAGCGTCAACATAAAATACTTTTAGCAACCATTTCTGGTTTTAAAGTCAAAACTAACAAAACACCAGGATTTTTATCAGCCTTTTATCTGAGATCATATGCTGCACAGTCCAGGGCTCTCAATTACTCTTTAGATCCTAAACTGAATTTCCTGGAAACAGAAAAGGGCAGCAGGACAGGATTTTGTGTTTTCCCTTCTTGTAGCATCAGTCTTATTCTCTGCCACATGCCATCCTTATCATGCATCTCCTTGCATGTCATATGCAACTCCTTGCTTCTTCACATCATGAATTACTGACGGGCAAATGATTTGCACATGGGTGTTTTCCTTTCTTGTAGTGTCAGTCTTCCTCTCTGCCACATATCACCCTTATCATGCATCTCCTTGCATCTAGTATGCAACTCCTTGCTTCTTCTTCACATCATGAATTACTGATTGGCAAATGGGTGTCCTCCACCCTCATACACGGCACGTCATACATTCACACCCGAAGAAGGAAAGGCTGAATTACACCTTAGTGGCTATATAACTTTCAAGGAATTTAGAAAAGGTTCTGGAGACTGTCTTCAAGAAACTTCCCAATTGAAGAGGGAAATCCCCAGTCTCTTTCAGTGTCCTTCCTTTTCCTCTCTTTGCTAAAACCCCAAAAACGTTCCCTACCTGCCACTCAGCAAAAGTGCTAATAATCACCAATTTGTATAGGCTTAAAAAATTAACTCAAAGCAGCACTGTGAAACATGGGAGGAAAGGCATTTTTCTAGTTAAGAATATATCTTCACTTTAATTTGGCCATTAACAATTACAAGAAGGTAATTCACATAGCTGACTGACCTTTGAAAATGTCGAAGCCTGATCCTTCTGACTATCTGGCCCTCCATAGGGATCTTCCATTAAAAGCTTTCTCAGTTTCTTCAGTTTTGGTCGGCATCTCCTTAATTCCCAATAGTTATTGGAGAAACCAGCAATCTACAAGAAAAAGCAAAGACTCTTAAAACATTTTAATATAGCATTTGGATTCAAAGCAACTTATCAAAAATGATCAGCAAAATGTGGTAATCTCGTCACTGAGAACAAGTGCTTCAGAAGGGTAAAATACAAGAAGTTATAGAGAATAAGAAAGAGAATTAAAACAAACAAACAAAAGCCCAGAAAGACACACCTGTGAATGAATAATATTACAAGATGCTTGATCTGCATTCAGCTGTTCTGGAGTTTTGCAACCAGGAACAAACAGCAGCATATTTGAGGTATCTGCTATTTTCATGTCATAGGTTTTATCTTTGCTGCACAACACTGCTTTTTCATCCTTTTCACCACGGATTACTAGGCTGGAACAGAAACAGCACAAAAATAAAGATGTATTTTTACTGCTATTTCAGAATGAATACCTATTAAACTTGTCTGATATTTTTTTGTATTTATACATTGGTAAGGAAGTTATAAAATGCAGTTCTATTTGGTAACAGCAGTAACAGCACACCAAAATAGAAAGATGTAATTATCAATTAATCTAAAATATCTTAAGTATGTTTTCTCCTTTCCTTTTTGAGTTTTCTCTCTCTGAAAGACAATTCAAGGTATTTACGCAGATCAATTTTGAATCACCTCATCTGCCTATTGACACAACCCCCCCAAGCCTAATTAAGTGTTGTTTAAAGCCTGAACTAGTTCACTGATATTTGAAATTAGATTTCAACTTCAGTTGTTCTTTAACGTGGACTGAAACTGGCTAAATATGAAACAATAAAGTAAACACAAATTCTGTCTATTGTGCAGCACCCGTCAGATAATCCCTTCTCAATAACACGTATGTTTTCTTGCAAGTAATTCCAAGCAGGAAAGAAAACCATCTTCTAGAGCATTTCAGGAGAAATAATACAAACCCCCCTCTCCAGCTCACATACCTGATTAAAAAGAGATTCTTAATGAGGACGTGGTAATACCACAGCAGGGGAACATTCAGGTGTTCCCAACTATTTGAGGCTATTCTCATTATAAAGAGTTCTGATATTGTCTCATTTAAATGCTTTTATTATGTCACCGGCATTGCAGCAAAGGCAAGATTTTTTAAACCGTATCAAAAACTTACCTAGAATCTGCTCTAGTCCAGAGTTAGATGCCAGGCAATCACCCCATGAAACGCCTATGCTAACACTGTACATCTTTTGCTGTTTCTCTCACAGGCACCCTGCCATCCACCCGACCTCAACAGTTCCAGCTCCTTTCCTAAACCCAAAGTGTTTGGCCCCTATATTTATATGCCTGATGAGAAACTCTTCTCCGTTTTGGCTAAAGGTCTCCTTAGCAGCAATTTTTTCCATATGTAAATAAATAAATGAATAAAACGCTTCTTAGGTGTTACTGGTGTAGTTTTCCGTGTAACAGAGCCAGGTTTAAGGGACAGTTACATCGTCACGCAAACTGTTTTAGAAGAAGTCTGGCAAAGGCCACGTTTAAAAGCCATCAGTTAAAGATGGAACAGCACAGCCCTGCCCCATCTCCATCCTCACGCACAGCGGGCCGAGCCATAAGGGTGAAAACTCCCGTCTACCGCCGCGGGGCGGGCTTGCCCCGGTCCCTCAGCCTGGCTCGGGTCGCCGTCCCGGCCACCACGGCAGCTGGGCCCCAAGAGACGACGGGTGGAAGTTGCCACTATCGCCAGGCCGCGCCTCGCCTCAGCGGACAAGTCCCACCGCTCCCGTACCTGCATCCCGCCTCGATCTCTGCGCAGAGGCCCGGCTCCAGCTGCAGCAGGCAGCACCCTCCGGCTGCCGCCTGCGGCCCGAAGCTGAGGCAATGTACTACCGGCAGCAGCTCCGCCGGGTTCACCTTGGCCGTCTGCAGCGTCGCGTCTACCTCCGCGCGGTTCCGCATGGCGCCCGCAGGCCGACCCGTTCCGAACCCCGCGCCGCAGCGTTACCCCGCCCCACGCCGAGGCGGTGCCTGTCGCGGCAAGGGGCGGGACGGTGCGGGAGGCGGGAGCAGGCGTTGGGTTGATTCTCTGGTTGACTGCCATTCTCCTGGCCGTGGCCAGCGGGGCGGGCGGCAGCACCCTTGTATGAAATACAACAAAACCAGACCTGATGTATGAGTCCCTACCCAGCTCTGACAGAGGCAGCACCCTCTGGGTTCTTCCTTAACACCACTGCATGGGAGCAAGGGTGGAGAGAGGGAGGCCAGCTGCCCGAGCCACAGTTGCAGTGTGGAAGTAAGTGGAAAGCACCCACCAGCATCACCCCATCTCTGCTTCTCCTGTCACCACAGGTGCGGGGATAGCCTGACCGAGAGCAAGTATCTGACAGCGCTCGTTGGCACATGGTCCCTTAGGAAAGGCTCTGCATGGTCTCCATGAAAGGGTTCATGTTGTGGCCTGGCCTAGGGTATGGCAAGTGTGATTATTGCAATGAAAATAGTCTGCAGCTCAGAGGTTCAAGAGGAAATCTACTGACATTCTTAAACCATAAGTGAAACATGAAGCAGAGGTTCAGAATACAACAGCTGGGTACCACTGGGAATTAGACCTCTGCAAAAATGCCTCTTCCCTGTCTTGTCCAGGACAGCTGGCTCCCCAAATGCCAGAGTTCTTGCTGCTAATGCACCTAGCTGCCCTAGCAGACAGCTAGGACTAACACAGGCTAACAGCTAACAAATATTCATTAGCTAATAAATAATTACTTTGAGCTCCAAAGTTGTGTATATCAATTTGCAGAGTCTCTCTGTGTTTGGTATAAACCTGCGCCGAATGACCCAGACAACGAGGTTGTACCATGTTCGTGCTGGAACCAGAAGCAGGAGCCATTGGGATGGAGTTGGCTTGGCTCAGTACCAAGCCCAGCAGAGAATAAATGTTGCTGTATGTGACTGAATCAGGCATCTGCCTTCAGAAGGTCCTTGGAGAACTGTAATTGGAGAAAACTTTGAAGTTACGAGGCAGTTACCTTTATCACATGTGCAGGGGCTTGGTCAAAGACTCAGCCATCTGCCATATTTTTGTACTTCATTCAGTTATTGGGAGGTGGAAATACAGTCGTGTACACAGGAAACCTGAGCTACTCTGACTTCAGCTAGCTTCTGCTAATGTGTAGGTGCGAACTAATATGTGTACAACCTTATTTGAGACTGTTGCATTTTACTTTAATGTAAATCTGTACCTGCACACCTCAAAGGTAAACCAGAAAATCACTGTTCTACCAAGTAAATGCTCACACAGTTACTAGCTGCATAAATAGCAGCATTCATTATGCTGGGTTTAATTTATACCTTAATGTGCACAATTTTCCAGTGACCTTGCATGCCTGCTTCTTCTCCTTCTTCCTTTTCATTCTGTGGAATAAAAAAGTGAGATTCTGATACAGCCAAGTGTCGTGGTTTAAACCCAGTCAGGTAATTCGTTTGCTCACTTCCCCCCCTTTCTTGCCCTCCCCCTGCTCTCGGAGGGACGGAGAGGAGAATCGAAAAGAATGCAACTCCCACGGGTTGAGATAAGAACAGTTTAGTAACTAAGGTATAACACAGATCACTACTGCTACCACCAATGATAATAATCATAAAGGAAATAACAAGGGAAGAGAATACAACATCTCAGCACCAACCGACCGATAACTCGCCCCCCCAGCCCGACCAAGCTCTGACCGATACCTCCTCCAACCCCGCAGTCTCCCAGCCCTTCCGGCTAACTCCCAGTTACATCCTGGGCATGACGTGCTGTGGTATGGAATACCTCTTTGGTCAGTTTGGGTCAGGTGTCCTGTCTCTGCTTCCTCCTGGCTTCCCCTCCTCCCTGGCAGAGCATGAGGCTCACAAAGTCCTTGGCCAAACCAAAACATCCTTGTTATCAGCTCTGTTCCCGAGCTGAAAGTCAAAACACTGCACTGCACCAGCTACCAAGAAGGAGAAACATAACATGAATTCACAGAGTTTATATTTTAAGAGCTCTGCCGCACAACAAAAACCCAGTGGGAAGAGAATCACTGAATGGCATTCAAGAGTTGGCACGGATCTATGGTCAGGAATATTTGTAGCCGTTACTAGTTTTTCCAGCCAGTTTTGTTTGACCTAGTAGTTCTGGTTATAAATGTTTCTTAGTTTGTTTCCTAAGGAGCGGAAACATGTGTGCTTGTGCTGCCTGCCATCTTTCTCTGCCTGTCCTTCACAACTCTGGAAGTTGCTGCTCAAGGTCAGGGAAATTTGGCAAGTAAAGTTCCTAGATGTTTTGTGGAAATCGATGGCTGGACAATACATTGGTGCCCTTACTTATGGGAAAGCAGCTCTGATCCATTCTGAGAGGCAGCAGCCAAATGGCCTATCAGCAAAAACATGGACATAAATCTATAGGAAACATGTTTCATTTCTCAGGAAACAGCTTGTATTATGCTTCTGTTTTCACCAAGAATGCTTTAGAGCAGTGACCTAACTGACGAAAACTGCTTTGTGTAGGAATTCATGAAGTTAGTTTCAAGAGACACAGATGAATAATTTAAAAAATTTGGATTGCAGAGAAAATGAGGAGATTCTGAACTACCAGTGTTGCTGTCAAATTATAAGGAAATGCTATGGCAAGGGAGCTTGGTAGGATCTTGAAATTATTTTATAATGATCAAAGAAAGGAAGTTCAAATAACCCCGAAGCTCCACAGCTAAGACATAAAACAATGAACCAGGAGATAACATATGGTACAACAGTGCACATTACCAGTATCAGGTTCTAGTTGTCAGGCAGCAGGAGGATGACTTCCCAGGTGTGATTTCAATTCAAGTGGTTGGGAGCTTTACAGTAAAATGTAGTAAGAAAATTGGGCTACATGAAATTCAGTGTTTAAATGTCAAAGATATACACAATATAAACTTACGAATGTCCTTCAATGCATAATGAAGGTGGCTGTGAAAACAGAAAGATAATAGAGCCAGCACTAGAGAAACTGGCACAGCATCAGAGTTGAATACAGTGGCACGTTATCAGCCTGATGATAACTGCACAATTCACAGTTGCAGTTCTTGGAGATTATTCCACAGGAGAGACAGAGTTTGATTAAAGCTTCACAAACCTTAGTTCAAGGATTTTTTTTTTTTCATCTGAAATGCCCTCTGCAATATTGAAAATTAGCGTGTATGTTACATTTCCTCTTCATCAGGGATTGTAGCAATAGAACAAGGGGTAATGTGTTTAAACTAAAACAGGGGAAGTTCAGGTTAGATATAAGGAATTTCTTCCCTGTGAGGGTGGTGAGGCACTGGAACAGGTTGCCCAAAAAGTGGTGAATGCTCCATCCCCAGCAATGTTCATGGCATTCACATAGCTTGAATAATAATTGTCTGGTCTGTCTCAAATGTAAGAACTGGGGAATACCACTGAAATTAACAGAAATTTATGGGTAACAAGAGAGAAGACCTTCCTATACAACACATTGTGGAACTTGTGAGATGTGGTGAAAGTCAAAATGAGTGTGATGCACAAAAAAATTAGAGAAGTTCATAAAGGTTGCATGTGGTTGTCTCTGCTAATTACAGTGTTCAGGTTTTAGCTGTAGCTCAGGACCCTAAAAAAACTCAGACCCCCTAAACCACCAGAGCACACACTCTTCTGTTCTCCGTTGGAGTTATTGAGTTAGATTTATTTTTTGTTTATTTTTTTTAATTAATAGTTAAAATAGCAAAGCAGTGGCTTACATATTCTATGTTTCAGACACTGAATCATTTGTAATCTCATATCCCAGTAAAACCATCATACCTGCTCATGCCAGTCAGCAAAGAACCAGAAAGCAGGAGATAATGAGTCCAAGACTCAAACAGGGAAAATTTTAGCCAGTTACTGGAATAGCCAGATAGCTCATCCACCAGAGATAAATTCTGTCTTGTCAGTCTTAATAGGCCAACAGGGAGATATGAAACAGTTATATTCAAGTTAGGAGAAAATAAATAGTCATAATCAGACCTAAATACTTGTGTAAACTCTACAATAGCTTGGATTATCTCAGTGACATCAAATTGGCTCTGTGCTGGAAACACTGAAGAAGAAACACTTGAAGCTGGAAAACACATGCCAGAATAGCCAGGGCACAAACACTATCAACACAGTTAGGAAGTGACTGAGAATTCTATGGTATACTGGTGCAACAAGCAAAAACCCGGATGCCCAATGCTTATGAGACAGCTAGCGCTTGGATACCCATTTCCTTGTTACATCATTTCTCTACAAGGACAGCACATGTAATTGCAAATGTAGCCAGAGATCAGCCATGTCACACTGGTGTAAGTCATGATGAGGTGATAAGGTGGGGTAGATCTGAACAAGCTGATATCTAGCTGACATTCATAGCATCTCCCAGCTTCAGCCAGTCAGCCAGGACATTCTCAGCTACAGAGCGCATCCTCACAGTGTGCACACTGGTGCAGTGGGTGGGCAGGTGCTACAATTTCTGTCAACATTAGCATGAAAGAGCAGGACATTGTCAATTATAGGGACACCATTCCCTTCTGGTCTTAGAGTATATGACAGGTGTGCATGTCATGTAATACATGAGTACATCATTAAAATCTTTTGGGCCATCTACATTTGCTAGATAGATCCTCAGACTGCTTCTAGAATAGCCACAGCACATATTGTAATTCAGACTCAGCTGATCTTGCTAGTTGGCAAAACTAACAGCAATACTTTACTGTGAGCCCTAAAATGTAATCACATAACACACCAGGTATTACCAAAGCCTATGCCTAAAGCATGAATGTTTCTGTATCTGTTGGACTTTTGATATTTTTCTGTAGACATCCTAACCATCTGATTTTTTTCTCCTGCTTTTGAATATTACAGCTTGTCTTGAGGCCAAACATTTTTCCATT